AATATTTAGAGCTGTTTTTATTGTCTGTGTATTCAGTCTCGGATACTTCAGTCATCATCTTCTGGGACGATAGTAAGTACATAGAAAACGTTTGCAGGACTCTGCTCCATTCTAATAAACAATTATAGCAGACTGAATACAGTCTGAGAAGGTAAATCTTTGAGTTCACTTGCAAGGTTACACTTATTAAAGCCAAAATAAATTTACATTAGAACAAACTATTAATAAAAAAAATTGAATTTGAATCAATTTAATTTAAATCAAGCCCAAGTGCATATTTTTTAAACGAGTTAATATACAGTGATATAACGTACACTATCACACACATAAAAGCGTATCTATCAAATACGTAACACTTGATCTTCACTAATAAGCATTAATTCCAACACAACTGTTGCAATTTGAGTCTTAAACAAAAACGTTGTGGTTTCATCTCGATCGATTCTAAAGTTGGAGTACGATTGTTTAGTTTCTATAATTAAAAGGGATAGTTCACCCAAAAATGAAAATTTGATGTTTATCTGCTTACCCCCAGGGCATCCAAGATGTAGGTGTGTGTGAGAAACTGAACAGTATTTATATAATTTTTTACCTCTAATACAACAATATGTCCAACTGCCTTGAGCGCGTGCACGGCCTTTTCTTTCATCAAGATGATGATGGGAGGGGAAAAAATAAGTAAAAAAAAATTGTGTTGAAAATTTATAATAAAATATAGTTTCATAACTTTAAAAAATAAACCGTTTGGTGGCCAAATCATTTATTTTATTTTTTTTATTAACATCTAAATATCTGTAGACACTTAGAGGCAAAAAACAAAACAAAAAACGATTTTGTTTTCTTTTAAGCAAAATGTGAAAAAAAAGGCAACTATTCAAACACAGAACTCGTGCATGGACTTCATGCATATAGAAATACAACACAAACAAAGAAGATTGAATATATGGCATGCTACGTTTGATTGTCAACTTTTCTTAATCTTCAATCTTCTTTGTGTTGTATTTCTATATGCATGAAGTCCATGCACGAGTTCTGTGTTTGAATAGTTGCCTTTTTTTTCACATTTCGCTTAAAAGAAAACAAAACAATCAATCGTTTTTTTGTTTTTTTTTTGCCTCTAAGTGTCTACAGATATTTAGATGTTAATAAAAAAAATAAAATAAATGATTTGGCCACCAAACGGTTGATTTTTTAAAGTTATGAAACTATATTTTATTATACATTTTCAACACAATTTCTTAAATTTTTTTTTAAATGATTTTTCCCCTCCCATCATCATCTTGATGAAAGAAAAAGCTAAATATACTGGAATTTAGAAAAAAGTGCAAATGGAGCCCATCCCAAATTGACATTAATGTACCCTGAGCTTTAAACATACCTGAATGGATTTTTTTATTAATAGATTAATGAATTATTGTTATTATTATCGACCCTCAATCAAATAAATACTGTTATAAAGATTCTATTAACATCACAGAAAATAGTTTTCATCCACAATTCCTCAGGTTCAACACTCAAGTGTGACACAGAGTCACTTCTTGGATATAATATTTTGTGTAATTGAACAATCTGTTTCTGTTTAAACACTTCCTTATCACAGGAATGAATGCAGACTCTCACACACTCCTCACACAGCAGTTCAGTGCATCATGAACTCTGTCTGTAAGATCTCAGAAGACGCGGCTCGTTCTGCCTCATATGAAGACTTCGGCTCCAGGAACTCAAGTGCAGATCCTCTTCTGCTAATCTTCCTCATCCTCTTCCTCCTCTGGTGAATATTCTTCATCTCCAGAGTCAGTGAGGTTCTGCTCCTCTTCCTCACTCCTCATCTCATCCT